CGAACCGTTCATGGCGAACCATTCGCAAACTGTTCGGCGAACCGTTCGGGACATCACTACCTAACAGGTATACTCGGCACTTTACAGGTTACATTACAGTAGAGGGAGGTACAGTAAGTACAGTAGGTACACAGTGTATGTATTTTATATTTATATAGCGCTAACAGGTGTACTCAGCACTTTGCAGGTTACATTACAGTAGAGGGAGGTACAGTAAGTGCAGTAGGTATACAGTGTATGTATATTATGGTTATATAGCGCTAACAGGTGTACTCAGCACTTTACAGGTTACATTACAGTAGAGGGAAGTACAGTAAGTGCAGTAGGTATACAGTGTATGTATATTTTATTTATATAGCGCTAACAGGTGTACTCAGCACTTTACAGGTTACATTACAGTAGAGGGTGGTACAGTGGGTATACAATGTATGTATATTTTATTTATATAACACTAACAGGCGTACTCAGCACTTTTCAGGTTACATTACAGTAGAGGGAGGTACAGTAAGTGCAGTAGGTATACAGTGTATGTATATTTTATTTATATAGCGCTAACAGGTGTTCTCAGCACTTTACAGGTTACATTACAGTAGGGGGAGGTACAGTAAGTGCAGTAGGTATACAGTGTATGTATATTTTATTTATATAGCGCTAACAGGTGCACTCAGCACTTTACAGGTTACATTACAGTAGAGGGAGGTACAGTAAGTGCATTAGGTATACAGTGTATGTATATTTTATTTATATAGCGCTACCAGGTGTACTCAGCACTTTACATGTTACATTACAGTAGAGGGAGGTACAGTAAGTGCAGTAGGTATACAGTGTATGTATATTTTATTTATATAGCGCTAACAGGTGCACTCAGCACTTTACAGGTTACATTACAGTAGAGGGAGGTACAGTAAGTGCAGTAGGTATACAGTGTATGTATATTTTATTTATATAGCGCTAATAGGTGTACTCAGCACTTTACAGGTTACATTACAGTAGAGGGAGGTACAGTAAGTGCAGTAGGTATACAGTGTATGTATATTTTATTTATATAGCGCTAATAGGTGTACTCAGTACTTTACAGGTTACATTACAGTAGAGGGAGGTACAGTAAGTGCAGTAGGTATACAGTGTATGTATATTTTATTTGTATAACGCTAACAGGTGTACTCAGCACTTTACAGGTTACATTACAGTAGGGGGAGGTACAGTAAGTGCAGTAGGTATACATAGTTACATAGTTACATAGCTGAAAAGAGACTTGCGTCCATCAAGTTCAGCCTTCCTCACATTTGTTTTTTGCGGTTGATCCAAAAGAAGGCAAAAAAACCAACCAGTTTGAAGCACAATTTTGCAACAAGCTAGGAAAAAAATTCCTTCTAGACCCCAGAATGGCAGTCAGATTTATCCTTGGATCAAGCAGTTATTACCCTACATTGAAAGATTATATCCTTGAATATTCTGTTCTTGCAAGTATGCATCTAGTAGCTGTTTGAACATCTGTATGGACTCTGATAAAACCACTTCTTCAGGCAGAGAATTCCACATCCCGATTGTTCTTACAGTTAAAAAAAACCTTTCCTTTGCCTTAGACAGTGTATGTATATTTTATTTATATAGCGCTAACAGGTGTACTCAGCACTTTTCAGGTTACATTACAGTAGTGGGAGGTACAGTAAGTGCAGTAGGTATACAGTGTGTGTATATGTTATTTATATAGCGCTAACAGGTGTACTCAGCACTTTTCAGGTTACATTACAGTAGTGGGAGGTACAGTAAGTGCAGTAGGTATACAATGTATGTATATTTTATTTATATAACACTAACAGGTGTACTCAGCACTTTTCAGGTTACATTACAGTAGTGGGAGGTACAGTAAGTGCAGTAGGTATACAGTGTATGTATATTTTATTTATATAGCGCTAACAGGTGTTCTCAGCACTTTACAGGTTACATTACAGTAGAGGGAGGTACAGTAAGTGCAGTAGGTATACAGTGTATGTATATTTTATTTATATAGCACTAACAGGGGTACTCAGCACTTTACAGGTTATATTACAGGAGAGGGAGGTACAGTAAGTGCAGTTGGTATACAGTGTATGTATATTTTATTTAAATAGCGCCCTGATGACGCTTCCAGAAGTGATTACACCTCTAGCACCAAAGGCTTAAATTCTGTATGATCAACAGTTCAAAGCAAATTGCTGCGGATACACAATTCGGCATAATGTCTCCTTCTAATCACTGCGGTGGTCATGGTGTTCGAACTAACCATTTAATGTACAAAGCTCAGAATGGTTTGATTCTGAGACCACCTCTTGCAAGTTATTACTGGAGAAAGTTCCCACTAGAAGCTGCATTTATCGGGGCAAAGCTAGAGAAATACCATGCAAAGGGCTGAATAAACTGCAATTACCATGGAAACCAACATGATACACGTGCAGTTTCCTCCATATTAAAAAACAAATGCCATGACCTTTTCGCACCTTTTCTTTGATAAATATAACCCTTCACCTCCCGAAGCGCTGGCTGCTGTGACTCTGACAAGAACTAGCAGGAGCTCGTAGTGGGAAATGTCAGCAATAAACAGAAATTCTAAATTTGTGGTAAAGTTCTAAAAGTGGAGCAGTTGCCATAGAAACCAGTAGAATGTTCAATGAGAATGACACTTTATACAGAACCCTGATATATACACCTATAAAGAATAATATTTGTATTTTTGCCATCTAATCCCTGGCAGCGTCATACTGTGCGTACAATAGCCTGGCATGCCGTGACCCTTCCGCCAATAGTCTATAATGTTAATGATTCCAGATATTCAGTTCAGATTGCTTCCAACATGTTCAAATTTAACTACAATCGTCCTCGGTAAATTTAACACACAATTTAAGGAGTTGTACAATCATGATATTTTTTTTTCATTTTAGGCTAAAAAAAGCTCAATGAGAAATATCTATACAATTGAATATCGTTAACTGTTTTTAGGAAGGATTTTGGAAGTTTTGTTCAGTTATAAGTATAAAGATTTTTCCTTTAATAATCAAGTTTCCGCTTCATTGAAAGAACTCCTAGGGGAAAACATGGTGCACTGTTTACACCACTGAAGCGCAGTGGGTGGGGCCAGTGGTGGATATTACACACACTTTCTCTGCCCTTTTTCTAATGTTAACCTAAAGCAGCACTCACTGTCACTTTACAGATTTTCCTAATAAGTGAATCATTTTATTTCTCCTCGTTTTTCCAAAGTCACGTTTTTTTTAACTGTATATCATAAAATGTTCGGAATCCTTTCTTATGGGGATCGAGATTTTGGTATTTTTTTTCGGCAGAGATTACGCAAAGTTCCACTTCATTTGCTAAGTTAATTTACCCACAATCCATCTGTCAACAGAATCCCACAAAAGAACAAACTGCAGACATCGTGGGCAAAGGAGAATAAAATGGCGACCAAGGAAGGAAAGATGATAAATACAAAGGCAAACAGCAGGGGAAGGATTATAACCATTAAGATACAAGGGGCATAAGGAAAGAAAAGTAATGGGGAAAAAAACATGTTGCTTTAAAAATCCATACCTCAGTATTTACATCTGCCCGGGTTAAACAGTGCCTCCTCGTTGCTCCCTGTCAATCACGGTTATATAAAATCAGCGTTGCTGTCAATCAGCATAAAGATCATAGAGAATAAGTGCCCTGTCGTGCCAAGATTGAACCGGATTGTGCTGTCATTTTCTTAGTTTTTAATAAAGATTTAACAGAAAATGTAGCATCGCATAAAAAATAGTTGACAAGTCAAGAGAAGTATGGTTCCTGCTTAACAGTAAAAAAAATAAAAAAAAAATAACAAAATCCTATACTGACATATAGGGCTGATTAAACAAACATTGTTTGTGTTTATATATATATATATAACCTTTTATCTCTTTTTTAAATTTTATTTATTTCTGTTCTGTGAAAATTATTTTAAAATGTCACTGAATCCATTAAGTGATGGCTTTAATTGACGGCTCATATTCCAAACTCAGCCCCTTCCATCAATGTGACACCGGCTGAGCGTGCCTCGGCTCTTCCCCTTGTTACAGAATAACCTCCGACCTGTGCTATGTGTCCTCAGTGCATACACGCGGGTAGCTCGGAAGGCTGTGAATACGTAATCAGTTTTCCCCATAAAAGTCCTGCTCGTTTCTCTCTCAGTAAAAACCTGTTTTATGGCTCTATCCCTCCGACTCCACCGTCCAATGAATCCTCTTTTTTATGATTTGATACAGTTGCACTAAAAAGAAATACCTTAGTTGTTCTCAGGGGGCTATTAACGAGGAATAATTTATCCTAGAAATTTGTTATGTTGGAATTACCAATTAGATGTAATTATAACTTAGTGCGGCTCTCTCTGCTCTACAGCCGAAGAATTTGGATCACATTAAAATCAAATTAGCATACATTAGTGTAGCCGGGCCTGGGTAGTAAGCATGTGCCAGATCCGAGGCTCGCTGCCCCCATGTAGGTAAAAGGCTTTGCTTTGCTCTGACCCTGAAAACACCAATAATAGGAATTGGCTGCAGAGCCTGCGCTCATTAGTGGAACGTCAGAAGATCAGCCGAGGATTCCAAATATCATCGCACAGCTCACACTAATACGTTTCTCCTCTTCGGCTTAATAACCCGAATCATACATTTCTTATCAATAGGGAAAAAATCAAATCTTTTTAAAAAGCGCTGATTAGGAGAAAAGAAAACAAACGTGAGATTTTTCTTAAAGATTGCACGAATACTGGTCTTTCAGACATTCTCGCTGCTTCCTGTAATTTATTTAATTATTTCCAAAGTTAGACTCACAGCATCCATCAATGGCTACGTAGTGGCTACAAGATAAACAGCCATCAATGGCTACAAACAGGCACCTTTGACTACTTTAAAGAATTGTTATTGTAGGGGCTGCTAACATCCGCATTCTGATTTAAATGATTGGCTACTAAGTAACGACAGCAGTTGTAATTAGTGAGAGGAGTGACTAGCAACCAGGGCCGCCACCAGAAATTTTGGGGCCCCTAACTGAGCTCAGGGTCTGGGCCCCTGGGGGCCCGCCTCCAAAACCGCCCACAGAGACCGCCTCCAAATCCCGCCCACAGGAATACACACACAGACACAAACACATTCACTGATACAAAAGGACACAGATACACACACACACACTGATACATACTAACAGACACATACTGATACGCATATAGGCATACATACTGACACACACATACTGAGACATACACACATATACAGACACACAGGCGTACATAGTGACAGACACATACTAACATACATACAGACACATGCATAAGGACATACAGACACATTCATAATGACATAAAGACAGACATTCATACTGGCATACATACATTCATACAGACAGACAGACATACACACATTCATAATGAGATGCAGACATACATACACTGACATTCACACACACACATAATGACATGCATACAGGCATACAGACATGCATACAGACATGCATACAGACATACATTCATACAGACACTGACATCCATACATACACACATTCATAATGACATGCAGACATACATACACTGACATTCATACAGACATGCATACAGACATGCATACAGACATACAGACAGACAGACATACATACACACAGACATAGACATACATTCATACACACAAACATAGACATACACACAGACACATACATACATACAGACATACATTCACATACACATACACACACAGCTCATTTACCAGCCACCTTCCTGTCTCTTTCCTTGTCTTGGGACTGGGAGTCGGCTGGCTCTCCCTCTTCATTGCCATGCGCGCTCCTCCCGTGTGGAGTGAGCTGGGAGGAAGTGACCACCATTTTTTTTTTTTAAAGGGGCCCAGTCTTGCTATACCACGGCCACATCGCTGACCGGGCCCCTGAAGATATGGGGCCCATCGGGTGGCCCTAAGTGCGTGGGCCACCCAATGGGCCCGATCAGCGTGCGGGCTCCGGTGGAACTGCACCTGCGGCAGTTCCGCCTCTACACGTGGGGCCCGGCCTGCCGGGCCCCCCAGGGCCGCCGGGCCTGTGACAACCATTATGGTTGTCACCCCATGATGGCGGCCCTGCCAGCAACTATAATTATCCGTATTAGCCATATAATTAGACACATAATAATCTGTACCAAAAGTCATTCTATAAACGTGTGATAAGCTGTACAATAAGCTATACAATAAGTTGTACTATATGCCACATAGAAACATAGAAACATAGAAACATAGAATGTGACGGCAGATAAGAACCATTCGGCCCATCTAGTCTGCCTAATTTTCTAAATACTTTCATTAGTCCCTAGTCTTATCTTATAGTTAGGATAGCCTTATGCCTATCCCACGCATGCTTAAACTCCTTTACTGTGTTAACCTCTACCACTTCAGCTGGAAGGCTATTCCATGGATCCACTACTCTCTCTGTAAAGTAATACTTCCTGTTGATTAAGGCGTACCATAGCTGGTTGATTAAGGCGTACCATAAGGCGTGCCATAAACCGTACTATAAGCCATACAATAAGCTGTATTATAAGGTGTACTACATGACGTATGATAAACCGTTAATTAAGGCGTACCATAAGGCGTGCGATAAGGTGTACCATAAGCCATACTATGAGGTGTACAATAAGGCCTACAATAAGCCGTACTATAAACTGTATGATAAGCTGTTAATTAAGGCGTACCATAAGGCGTGCGATAAGGTGTACCATAAGCCTAATTTATAGACTGTACAATAAGCTATGTAGTCGTAGTAGTTCTGGTTTTAAGATTGAGCCACTAATAAAGTAGTTAAGGTGATTACACGATGATCACTGTATTAAGTAGATTCTCTGATTGAAACACAGAATGTCAGTGACGACCTTTCAACTGTGTTACAAATCGTGTTAAATGCATTTTACTCACTTTACTTTGATTTGGGAATTGTTGAAAAAATATAAATAAATAGTTGGAATAAAATCCCCTTGACAATTAACTAACAGGACGGACTGAATTGTTGGGAGTTTAAAGTGAATTTCACATTTTTAGGCAGAAGCAGCCAAATCGGAAGAATTCTCAAAATTTGCAAATGATTTTGTATTCCCAACAATGGACACGTTAGTGTGATCTTAAAAAAAAAAAAAAATGTAAAAAAAATTGACGTTTTTTTTTAATATAAAAAAAAAAACGGCAACTTTTTGGTCATTGAATAAACTTCTTAGATTTTATTAAAAGTCTGTTTTGGTGACACTATCAGACAAAACAAACAGAATGGGCAGAATGGACGTGAAAAGCAGTTTCCTACAATCGTTTTATGTTTCAGTTGGCTCGTTTTTTACACGATAGAATATAAACTGGTTAACCAGATCACAGTAATTACGAACTCTCAGATTTTTATATTGGTTAGAGCTGTGACATGACCGAGATTAATGTTACCAAGGAATTCCGTAACTTTTTTTTGTGCTTTCATAATTCGACCAATCGGACATCGCTAGTCTAGATCCATAGGCTATTAAGCTTAACTTTGTGAATGCTTTTGGCCAGACATCTGCTACGTGTCCTAGATTCAATCTACGGTCTACAGGGAGCAGTAGCCGCAAACACAGCCAGCGTTATGTATCAGAAACCCCCCTCAGGAGCCATCCAAAATACAACACAGATCCCCAAAGTGCGCATCCGATTCTGACACGTTGTAAGTCACCTTACAGAGTCCTCAGTATTCCCTCGATAGGGGAGCACGGAACGAAAACCCACCGGGTAATAACGCTTTAGGTATTTTTACATTCAATGATACAATGTGTTTTTCACCTCACTGAATCACAATCTGGAATTTAGATAACATACATTTTCAGCCCAGGCTCTTATCTCTCTGAGCTAAAAACAATCCTCACTCCATCAAATATCCAGCTTCAGGATATATAATTGTAACTATAAGAATTAATAATTAAAGTGCACTAACCATTAACATGACAACCTCAGACTATGTGTCATGCAATGGTTTCAAATCCATCACATTTGTTGCTACATGTTAATTAATAGCATCATCCAACGGGCCACATTAAATAAGGGCCGTATGTAAAGTCGATTATCAGAAGGATGCTTACATCAAGTCAATCACCAAGTGGGAGAGGCAGGAGAATAGACTAGACCTGTGTTAGTGATTCTGTCAGGACGATACAGTCCCAACACGAGAATACAGAACACTTAAAAGGACAGTATGTATTACTGGTCATTAGAGATAAAGTATAGAGACATAAAGAATTGTCAAAGAACAAGCAAAGTCAATAACAGGACAATCAGAGAAGAAAAAGTCACTGAAGTCTCTTCTTACAACAGACCACTATAGGACACAGGTCTCTTGGTGGACTGAGGTTATATAGCCCTAGTTCCTGACCTCATCAGAACAATGCCAGAATATCATAGACGTGCAACCAGTGGCGTACATACCAGGGTCGCAGGGGTCGCGATTGTGACCGGGCCCGGCCCACCAGGGGGCCCGGCCGCCCCTGCGACCCGGTATGTACCCACAGGGCCAGCCTCTTCCCCTGGGGGGCCAAGGAGCCGACCACCCCAGGGCCCCCCGAGGCTGGCCCTGCTGTCACCTGGCGGGCGGGCGCGCAAGGGAGCACTCAGTGCTTCCTCTTCAGCTCCCTCGCGCACCGCACTGATACCGGAGCCGGAAGATGACGTCATCTTCCGGCTCCGGCATCCCTACGCGGTGCGTGAGGGAGCTGAAGAGGAAGCACTGAGTGCTCCCTCGCGCGCCCGCCTGCCTGACCGGCCGGCCACCCAGACTGCCCGCCCAGGAGCCCAGCAGCACCACCACTGGACCCCAGGGAATCCCCCCCAGCACTCCAAAAGGTAAGGAGGCTGGGGGGATTACATTTAAAAACAAAAAAAAACTAGTGTTAGTGTTTGAGTGTTAGTGTTAGTGAGTGTTAGAGTGAGTGTGAGTGTTAGAGTGAGTGTTAGAGTGAGTGTTAGTGTGTGTGTTAGAGTGAGTGTTAGTGAGTGTTAGAATGAGTGTTAGTGTGTGTGTGTGTTAGAGTGAGTGTTAGTGTGTGTGTCTGCTAGTGAGTGTTAGTGTGAGTATTAGAGTGAGTGTTAGTGTGTGTGTCTGCTAGTGAGTGTCAGTGAGTGTGTTACTGTGTGTGTCTTACTGAGTGTGTGTATGTTAGTGAGTCTGTTTGATGTCTGTTAGTGAGTGTGTGTTTGTCAATGAGAGTGTATGTTTTGTAAGGGAGTGTGTATGTATGTCTGTCGCTGACTGTGTCTCTGTCAGTAAATGTGTGTGTCTGTTAGCTAGTGTGTATGCGTCTGTAAGTGTGTGTGTGTGTGTGTCTTCAGCACTTACCTTTCTCCAGCGCCGGACTCCCTTGGCGCTGAGGATCCCTCAACCTCTCAGCTCCGAATGCGACCGCGCACGCATTCAAACCGCCCATAGGAAAGCATTACTCAATGCTTTCCTATGGACGTTCAGTGTGCTCCTCTAGCGGCTGTCAGTGAGACAACCACTAGAGGCTGGATTAACCCTCAGTGAAACATAGCAGTTTCTCTGAAACTGCTATGTTTTCAGCTGCAGGGTTAAAACTAGAGGGACCTGACACCCAGACAGCTTCATTGAGCTGATGTGATCTGGGTGTCTGTAGTGGTCCTTTAAAGGACCACTATAGTGCCAGGAAAACATACTCGTTTTCCTGGCACTATAGTGCCCTGAGGGTGCCCCCACCCTCAGGGACCCCCTCCCGCCGGGCTCTGGAAAGGGGAAAAGGGTTAAAACTTACCTTTTTCCAGCGCTGGACGGAGAGCTGTCCTACTCCGATCCTCCTCTTCTCCTCACCGTCGGCTGTATGCGCACGCGCGGCATGAGCTGCGCGCGCATTCAGCCAGTCACATAGGAAAGCATTCATAATGCTTTCCTATGGACGCTGGCGTGTTCTCACTGTGAAAATGAGAAGCAGTGAGAAGCACGCAAGCACCTCTAGCGGCTGTCAATGAGACAGTCGCTAGAGGAAATAGGGGAAGGCTTAACCCATTCATAAACATAGCAGTTTCTCTGAAACTGCTATGTTTATGAAAAAATGGGTTAACCCTAGCTGGACCTGGCACCCAGACCACTTCATTAAGTTGAAGTGGTCTGGGTACCTAGAGCGGTCCTTTAAGTGTGTGTGCATCTACATGCAGGGGTCGCAGCCCTGTAACCCCTGCGACCAGGTGCCCACTGCCATGTGTTGTGGCCCGGCCCGCGCGCGGGTGGGGGG